CTGCAGAAGCGCTTGATAACTATATGTTAAGGAGATCTTTAATATAATACCAGAATGGCAAGTGTTGCAATTCCTGATGAGAACAGGGAATCTATAATAAAGGATAAGGAATGACTAGCAGTCAACAGAAAAGAATAAAATGAGATTTAATACATCAGGGGGAAGTAATCAGAAACACAGCTTTTTATGAGAGGTAATTTTTAATAATTTATTGAAACTTTTAGGGTCTTGAATATTCTTTAATCATTGTTAATTATATATTAGCTATCGTAGATAACAAATAAGGTAATTATTTATTAATTTTCCTATTATAAAATGTTGGTTTAAAAATGATAAATCCCTGTCTCTTTTTGTATGTGGATTTTAAAATGGAAATTGAGAGGTTAATTCCTGAGCAATATGATTCCTAAAATTTTAATGGGAACATAAAATGATCAAACTAAGTCTTTATTGTTCATAACATTAGATCAACCTCAAGAGACGCAAAATTGTATTCTTAATATCTTCATTCATTTTTATATAATTACATGAGACTAACATTAAAATAGAGCTTCAGTTACTCTCTTAGTTTTCCTCTTTACTTGAGATTTTATTCTTTCTATAATATGAATATTTATTTCCTGTCATAGAAATGAATCTAAACTGTGATACTAGTTCCTAGAGCATTAATTTTAGTGGTGATGAAGGAAGGGAACCCTAAATTGGTGCATCTTTCTTAGTCATGTGACTAGGAATATGGATTTTAGTAGCACATTTATTTTTACTGATACTAAATATTTTGCTCTGCTCTCGTGGCCACAGAGAAAGAATGATGGTACTCATGGCAGGTTGCGTCCACCATAAAATGAAAATCAGTTTTTTAGCCCATCTCCTAGGGCCCAGATCCACTAATTTTACTTTTGCTGAAAACTAGCACCATATCATCATCAGAGGACCCCCTCCTTTGTCATTTCCTTCTCTAGTGACTTTGTAAAAGAAGGTACAAGGAGAGGAAGAAGAAAGAATACCAAGGAGCAGCTTTTGGACAATGCTAGTACCAAAATAGCACCTCTTTAATACTGATGCCCTTTAAACATTAGTGCCATTCTCTAGTCTGTCAGAGATTCTTCCATGGTTCCTAACCATCCTTATGCTATCATGGAATGTCACTGATGAGAATAGTCCAGTAATATGGGAAAATAATGCTTTTCTGTAAATAGGCAAAGTTTTCAATACTGCTGACCAGAAGTGTATCCACATACCCAAAGCATACTTCATCCATGTAGGCAGATGGAATGTAATTTGGGAGACACCAAGAAAGACTCCCTACCTCAAAGTGGCATCCTCACGGTCTATCATCAGTATTAGAAATTCTGTCAATTTCCTCCCTTTTGGGTCTTATCCCCTATGAAAACGAAAATTTCCATGCTCCTGATAGGAGCACATATTGTTTCTTATTAGTTATTAGAGCAGAATATTTAAGTGATGACCAATGGAGGAAGGGGAAAAACAATATTATTATATGTATATGCTAGGCCACTAGGACAAAAGGAATAAATGGGTGAAACTATTGAGAAACAGATTACAAACTTGGCAAGGAGGCACAAATATATTAATGATGGGGGACTTCAATTTCATTCTAAGTGTCTACTAGATTTGCTAGAAACTTCTTCTTGCCAAAGAAAGGGAGCTGATGAATTCTTGACTTGTATTCCTGACAACCTCATTATTCAAATCATTCAGTAAGTGATATGGGAAACTGTTATTCTGGACCTCATTCTGACAAAAAAGGAAACATAAGTAGGTGGCTGAAATAGTAATGATGGAAATCTTGGGGAGATGTAACAAGTTCATCTTAGAATCTGGAATAGAAAAGGAGAGAAATGCCAAGTATAGTTTGAAGAGGACCCTAGATTTGTAGACAACAAACTTCAGGGAGTTCAAAAAGAAAGGAGAGGTTAAGATTCTGCAGAGTAAGATTCTGTGGAATAAGGCAGCCCAAGACATATGGGAAAGACTCAAGAATGAATTTTTGAAGGAACAAATGCAAACAGTTCTAATGAGGAAGAAAAGGTACTATTTAAGGATATGAGAGTGGAAATAAGGAATTAATCAACTAATTTAAATTGTTTTTTTAATGTCTAGAAGATAACATCAAAGTTAACTAAAGGATATAAATACAAAAGAATGACACAATGGTGTAAGAATAGTATCATGAGTGCTAAATCACAAAATGAGTTGCATCTGGCAAAGAAAGTTAAGCACACAAAAAAGGACCTTTTAAAAGTTGTGTTGGGAACAAAACTAAGATCAAACTACAGATGGGGCCACTTCACAGGGTGGATAGGAGAATGATAACAGACATTGGAGAGAAGCTGAATTTTTTTAAACTTTTGGGTTTGTTTTTTTTTTTGCTTTCACAAACAAGGAAAATTATCTTTGATTAGGAAGGATAGAACAAAAGTGGTTAACAGAATTGAAATGAAAAATAGGTGAATATATGATAATAAAGCACCTCGCTATTCTCCAATAAATTCATCACTGGACCCAGCTAAAACACAGCTCTAGGTATATTCTAAAAAGTGGCAAGTATGACTATTGAGCTATTGTTGCTAATCTTAGAAACATCATGGAGAATAATAGAAGTGCCACAGGACTGGTGTAGGCCAAAACAGGCCCTATTTTTTTTTTCATTTTTTTCTGTCCATATTTCTTAAAAAAAGAAGTGGGACAAAATTAGCCAGGAAATTTGACTTCCACTCCTGGCAAAATTCTAAAATATATTATTAAAGGAATGGTTTATGAACATTTAGAAAAGCCAGTAGTGATCACTAAAAGCCATTATGGCTTTATCAAGAACAAGTCATGACATGCTAATCTGCTTTCCTTTTTATAAAAATACATTTACTTATAATTCAGAGGAATTTTGTAGACATAGTAAACCTAGATTTCTGTGAAAAATTTGAAAAAGATTTCATGCTAATGAACGTTATGGAGAGATATGGGAGTGAAGACGGTATAATTAGGCTTTGGGGTACTAACTGAATGACCTTGTCCAAAGAGTAGTCATCCTGGCTTGATGTGAGCTCAGAAGAAGTCTCTAGTGAAGTGTCACAAGTTCTATTGTTGGCCCTAACCTGTTTAACATTGTTTTATCATGTCTTGATTGAAGGCTGACAGAAAGCTCTTCTCATTATATACATCACAAAACTGGAAGACATAGCTAACACATTGGATGACAAAAACAGGATCCAAAATGGTACCAGTAGACTAGAAAGATGGACTGAATATAATAAGATATAATTTAAATTGGTATACATGTAAAGTCACACATTTGGGCTCAAAAATTCAAGTGTATAAATATAGAATGTAGAGGTATGGCTAGGCAACAGTGTGAAGGAGATCTGGAGGACTTAGTGGACAGCAGTTAGTTTGATAAGCCGTTGGTAAGATGCCATGCCCCAAATTGTAGGTGCAATTCTTGTTGTTGTTCAATTGCTTTCAAATGAGAAACTGAAGCAAATAGGGTTAAATGATTTGTCCAGGGTCACACAACTAATAAGTGTCTAAGGCAGGATTTTAAATCAGAAAGATGAGTCTTCCTGACTCCAGGCCTGGCACTCCAGGCCACTGCCTCTTGGAGCCCCTGACTCCCATTAATCTCCAAATCAAGTGCCAATTCCTTTAAGAGGCATTTCATTAAGTCTCTTCATTGTTTGTGAACACCTCTGTCCCAATTACTGTGTACATATGGATATCTATCTATCTATCTATCTATCTATCTATCTATCTATCTGTCTATCTGTCTGTCTGTCTGTCTGTCTTCTGTCTGTCTATCTGTGTGTATCCCCTGTCTACTTATCTACAAGTCTATTTCATTCCTCTCAGTAGAAAGTAAACTCCTTAAGAGCAAAGACCGTCTCATTTTTGTGTTTTTATCCACAGCACCTAGCACAGTGCCTGGTAGATCTTAGGCACTTAATGATGCCTGTTGTTTCATCCATTTGCTGTTGTTTTTTTTAAAGAAGCTATTATGGAAGAGTCAGTGCTAGGGGCAGCTAGGTGGCACAGTGGATAGAGTACTGGGCCTGGAGTCAGGAAGACTCATCTTTCTGAGTGCAAATCTAGCCTCAGACACTTCCTGGCTGTGTAACCCTGTTTGCCTCAGTTTCCTTATCTGTAAAATGAACTGGAGAAGGAAATGGCAAACCACTCCAGTATCTTTGCCAAGAAAATTCCAAACATGGTCATGAAGAGTTGGATAGGTCTGAAACTATTTAACAACAACAATTTGGTTGCTAGAGTTACAAATATGAATAAGATGGTCCCTGCCTTCAAAGAAGGCATTCTATTGGCAGAAACAACATGTATGCCATAGACTTAGGACTAGAGCAGAGATCATCTAGTTCAACTCCCTTATTCTACATATGGGGAAAATGAGGCCCAGAGGGGTTCTATGACTTGCCCAAGGCTACCTACCTACATACATATATATATATATGTATATATGTGTATGTGTGTGTGTATATATGCATATATATGTATATATACATGTATTTATATATATTTGTATTTATCTATATCTATACATCTGTATCTATAGATATAGATATAGATATAGATATAGATATAGATATAGATATAGATATAGATATAGATATAGATATAGATATAGATATAGATATAGATATAGATATAGATAGTAAGTGGCCACGCAGGAATTTGACTCTAAACCCAGCTTTATTTTCCTTCTCCTATGCAGCCTACAAATACGTATATTTCATAAATATAAAATATAGACAAAGTTACAGAATGATTGTAATCTGCATTGATAGAGAAAGTACCCCCACCTACAAAGTGCTATCTCCCTGAGGACTGAAGTACTTTATTGTTGTGATGCCGCAATAAGTCAGGCATGTGATTAGGAGCCTTTTATAGGCTGACCTTTGGAACTATGACAAACTGCAAACCACTGTGTGTATCTTTGCCTCCGCTTCTTTCTGCCTGTTATCTCTGAGCAGAGTGTGTACAATGCAGGCGTTCTCTAGGGCCAGAGTGTTTCTATCTCCATAAACCTGGGTGCTAGGTACCCAAGGCACAAAGACCTTGTGAACTTATTTACCGGTAGAGAAAAGGCAGTATCTCAGGAGGTGGCAGGTATGTTTGAGCCTCAGGTGGCTTGGCTGCTGGCAAACAGCTGGTGCCTCTGCCCCTCCCAGGTCCTGCCACATACCTCATTCTCCAGCCCCACCTGCTCCACTTACTCTTCGGATTACACACTGTTGGGTTGTGAGGGGAGTCCAGGGGCTGAAGCGCTGAGACAAGGAGCCAGCTCCCCAGTTAGGACCTGATTAGCACAAGCTCACATCCTGGGAACTCTGGTTTGGAAACAGGGGGACCTAGAAAACGTAAGTTGGGACTTCTATTTCAGTTCTAAAGAGTTAGAATATTTTAAGTTTGTTTCCCCCTCCCCTTCCACCTTCCCCAGAAGATAGAAAATAGTGGAACATCAAGGGAAAGGAGGAAGAAATATGGCATTGTGAGAAGGGTCAGTGTAAATACTAAGGCCCAACTGTAGCTAATGCTAAGGCTTTCCTCTGTTTATGTTGAGAAGCAGAGTGGCCAAGAAAAATGAGGAGGTTTGGACTTGAAGTCATAAAATCTGGGTTTGAGGTCCATTGTGTTACTGTGGGCTTAACCTCTCTGGACCTGTTTCTCATTTATAAAATGGGGATACTAATGCATGCCTCTACTGGCCTCTGAGGATCATTATAAGGAAAGTATTCTGTGAACTCTAAGGCATCGCAGCAATGTGGACTCTCATCATTACCCTCTTCTACTAAAGGCCAGTATTTCTATATTTTGAAAGAATTCTGCGTTTCTTAAACTTATGACAATTGTGGCTTGAGGTGTGTGTGGCCAGGGAAAGGGGGGATTGACTTCCTCTCTGACTTTTAAGAAATTCGCCCAATGTTTCATATTATGAGGAAGAGTTCTCTCCTACATCTCAGGAATATTACAAGTTTATTAGCACATGGGAAAGGGCATGTGATTCAAAGATGTGGCAGGCCATACTATAGTTCATTTCTCTAGATTTTTACTCTGTGACAAATGAATGGCTTTCTCTCTATTAGCAGTGCAAAAAAAAAAAAGGTTTATTTTTGCCAAGCTTAGAGTTTATCATTTCTATCAGTGCAAAATTCTATTTAGTTTTTTTTCAAAAATCAATATGTAGTTTTGTGTTTATATAAAACAAAATGAATATTGTAAGGAGATAAAAAAGTGGCTCATTTGTATTCTGAACCTGTTATCTTTGTTTTACTGAGTGAGTAATGATAGTCAATAGTATTGATAGATGCAGCCCATTCGTTCTGTAGCGATTCCCACAAGGAGGTAGAGGCAGGGATAGGGGAGGAGGGAGTAGTAGAGAGCCCTGGGAGATTGAAGGAAGAGACTTTTGATGGCTTCTGGTGTGAGATAAAGCTATGTATGGTCTTTTGTTGAAATTCCCACTGAGGAAATTCTACATGCAAATTCCAGCAATAGTAGTAATATGTTATAAGCAGCTAACTATGATCCTGTTTATTCGCTACAACATAGATTGAAAATCACAAATTTATATAGGTGGAAGAAACTTTTAGTTTATCTATTTCAGTTTGCTCATTTTGCAGACGAAGCTGAGGCCCGGAAATGTTAAGTGATTTACTTAAAGTCACACAGGTTATATTGGAAGCTACTAATTTATTTACAAGGCAGCTAGATGGTGCAATGGATAGAGCACCCAGCCTGGAGTCAGGAAGACCTGAATTCGAATCTGGCCACAGACCCTTAACTAGCTCTGGAATCCTGGGCAACTCACTTAATCCTGGAGAAGGAAATGGCAAACCACTCTACTACCTTTGCCAAGAAAAACCCAAATGTGGTTATGAAGAGTCGGACACAACCAAAATGACTCAACAACTAATCTGTTTGCGTAAGAAGTGCAGAATTCCTTCCCATGCTTCCCTTTTTAATTTTTACTTAGTTCAGGGAGCTTCTCTTGATAAAAAACCTCTTTGGGATGGACATACTTCAAAGTCTGTTCTTGCATCCTAAAGAAATAGGCACAATAGAATTGTGAGTACAAGTGGATACTTGCAGCTAGATCTGGGTCACTCACATCTCTGTGGGATTACATATTTTGTTTAAAGAAAAATACTTCCTATCTGCAAAGCACTAAAAAGCCTAGTCAGATATCAGCTTATATTAGATCATATTTTCTTTCAAGGAATTTATTTATATTCTTAAGATGTCAGAAACCTCAAAATGAAATAATTTAAAATTAAATGGAAAAAATCATGACAAAGATCAATGCTAATAAAACTTTCCATTTTCTTTCTCTCTCTATCTCTCCCATTTTCTTGGCTTCCAGCCATTAAATTCTGTTTTATTTTTCTTCAATGTTCTTTGCTGTCTTCTTCCATTTGCAACCTGAAGCAAGGTTGGTTTGGTACTTTATGAAAAAGTAATATGAACCTCAATTCATAAACATTTGCCAAGATGAAAATGAGAAGCTCAAAGTTGGACTTGCTATAAAATTGAGTCTGTGCTGCTGCTGCTGCTGCTGCTGCCACTCTGTTCTGCCTGGATCTACCTGTGCAGCAGCATCCACAATGAAGGTCACCAGAGGCTGGTGAACTGAAAAGTTCTACTCAAAATGTCACCATCTTGATACTGCATTTCTTGATGCAGTGTCTCTTCAAGTAATCTCCCTAAAGGAATGGAGGCATTCACCTATCCACAGATGCTGGACTTTTTAAACGAGAATGGACAATTAATCACCCATTTAAGTAAAACATTTTTTCCATTTCTTCTTGTAAAGAACTTAACAGGCATTGATATTTTGGAACCCAACCATAACTTGTGTTTCAAAAGAAGGAGGGCTTTTAACTATAGATTTTCCTGACATTTGCTTTTAGAAGTTGTGCAGAAAAGTTTCTGGAACAACAAGCTTATAATATGTAGGTGCCTTTGAATTAATGTACACCCTTAAGCTGTTTTCTGAATAAAGGAGAACTCACAGTTAATAGCATGATGTAATCATATCCTAATTATTCTAGTTACTCCATTTCAGGAAAATTGCTTGGGGGGAATAGACTTATAAATAATAATCAGTGGATAGAGCACCAGCCATGGAGTCAGGAGGACCTGAGTTCAAATATGAATGACCTCAGACATTTACTATCTGCATGACCTTAAGCAAGTCACTTAACCTTGTTTGCCTCAGTTTACCTATCCAGCAAATGAGCTGGAGAAAGAAATGGCAAGCTACTCTAATATCTTCTTTGCCATGAAACTCCCAAATCGGGTCATGGAGAGTTAGACATGACTGACATGACAGAACAACAAAATTTATTCAGGGTGGCCCAAAAGTGTCATTGCAGTTTTACGCTATTAATTAAATTTATAAATCTAAAGGTATTATAGCACTTTCCAAGCTGCTTTAAATATATGAATGATCTCATTTGAGCCTCATAATAATAACTTGAAGTAGGTACTACAAGTCATATTATCCCCACTTTACAACTGAGGAAACTGAGGCTCAAAATGGTCAGGATGGTCACACAGCTAATTTGTATTAGAAATATTTGAAAGCAGGACTTCCTGATAGAAATTCCACTGCATTATGCTGCCAATCTTAAAAAATGTATAGGGATTGGCACTGGAACATTAATTTCTTGGGGAAAGGTAACTCCCTGGTAAGGAAATGCCCTCTACTAATGTGGTTGGCAATTTTCCACATGCAAGCGGCATGTTCTCTGCAATTTATACCCTTAGAGAGTTATCTAGAGCAATGAAAAGGTATATGAATCGCCCAGGGTCACAGAGACCATCAGCAGGACTGTAGCAATGACATAACATAGGAGAACTAGAAAGTAAAACTAAGCACTCTCCTTTTAGAGAAATGAAAGTGAAACAGATTGAACTTTTTTTTATTATTGTTATTGACATTGAGTCCTCATTTTTTTCAATTGTGAAATCAGGAAGGAAGCAATTTCTAAAATCCCTTCCATCCTAGGCCATTTGTAGGAATTTTACACTGATGGGATTGCAGAAAGAGTTTCAGGGCATGGAAAAGTATGTTTGATGATCTGGATTGTCTTCTTATTGACATACATTGTGTGTGTATATGTGTGTATGTCTGTGTGTGTGTATCTGTGTGTCTGTGTGTCTCTACAACAGCCCTGTGCTTCAAGCTTCTGGCTTATTCATCCCTTCAGCTGTTTTTTCAGTTGTACCTGACTCTTTGTGACCCCAGTTGGGGTTTTCTTGGCAAAGACCCTGGAGTGGTTTGCCATTTCCTTCTCCAGATCATTTGAAAGAGGAAGAAATAGGCAAACAGGGTTAAATGACTTGACCAGGGTCATACAACTACTAAGTGTCTGAAACCAGATGTGAACTCGGGAAGATGAGTCTTCCTGACTCTAGGCCTGGCACTCTATCCATTGAGCTACCTGCCTTTATATAATACATACCACCTACCTTAATATAATTGTGATTCTGCTCTTCTCCATGTAGACATGGTCACACTCTATTTTTTAACCATTTGGGTTGGAAATACTCCTGGGATTACTATGCTAATTCTAAATCTGAAACCTTCTACCTCCTCTCTTACTCTGTAGCTATTAAGCACAAAGAAAATATGTTTGGAGAATGCTATGAGAAATGGTTTTGTTTTTGTTTGGTTTATTTGTTTGTTGGTTTTTTTTTTTTTACCAATGGTCCTTATTGAGCTGCTACTTCTTTAAAAAAAATGCACTCAACATTTGCCATCAACCTAAAAAAGAAAAGCCTGGTACAAAGAACCAAATGACTCCTGCAGCTTCTTGTATGTATGAAATTCTCTGATTCTGAGGCATCTATTATAAAGAGAATATTGGACGCAGAATCAGGATGCCCAAGTTTTTAGTCCAGCCTGTGATACTAATAGCTATTGTGGCCTCAGACAAATTTCTTTTCCTTATAGATTCATAGAACTTTAGACCTGGAAGGGATTTTAGAGACCATCCAATACAATCCCCACATTTTAGAGATGGGGAAACTAAGGCCCAGGAAGGTGAAGGGGTTTTGTTGTTGTTGTTCTCATAATTATTTTATTTTATTTTGAGACAAAATCTCCTTCTCTCGCTTGGGCTGGAAGGGCAGCAGCCACTCAGAGGCCCATTGTTACTATTCATCAGTATGGTAGCTTTGACATGCTTCATTTCCAACCTTGGCTGGTTTTCCCCTCCTGAGGAAGCCTGGTCATACCCACTGCCAGGAGCTTACCATATTGGTACCAGACTTAGTGAGTACCCATCTAGCTGCAGCTCAATTTCTGAGCTTAAACTATCCATCAGATTCCCTAGTAGCAGGGATTACACGTGTG